CACGCAGCCATCATGCTGTGAGGAAACCCAGGACATATGATGGTGTCTACGGGGGGAAGACCAAGGTCTCCAGCCTTTAGTCTCCGTTAAACTCCCAGCCAATAGCCAGCACTGACTTGGAAACCATGAGAATGACCCATCTTGGAATCAGATCCTCAGCCCAAAGGGGAGTAGCCATCAAGAAGCCTTCTCTACTGAGCTCTGCCTAGATTGTAGAGGCACAAGAAAATGCGTTTTTGTTTTAAGCCTCATGTGATGGTTAAATTTATATGTCAACTTGACTAGGCTAAGGGATTTCCAGATAGTTGGTAAAATATTGTTTCTGGGTGTGTCTGTGAAAGTGTTTCTGGAAGAGATTAGCATTCAAATCAGTAGATTGAATAAAGACGATTGCTCTCACCAATGGGATGGGAATCATCCAATTCTTTGAGGGCCCCAATAGAACAAAAAGACAAAGAAAGGGTGAATTTGTTCTCTCTCCTTGAGCTGGGACATCCGTCTTCTGCCTTGGACATTGGTGCTCCTGGTTTTCAGGCTGTCCAACTCCGACTGAATTACATGACTGACTTTTCTGGGCCTCCAGCTTACAGACTGTAAATTGTGGGACTTCTCAGGCTCCTTAATGCATGAGCCAATCCCTGAGAATAAACCTCTTTCTACATATTCATATCTATATCTATATCTATATCTATATCTATATCTATATCTATATCTCCTATTGGTTCTGTTTCTCTGGAGAACCCTGATTAACGTACCTCTGTAATGGCATAGTTTGTCATGCAGCAATCGATAACCTGAACAATGTTGAGATTAATATAATCCTCATTTTACAGATGAGCAATGAGAACCTTAGCAAAGTTAAATAACTTACCTAAGACACACAGTCATAAGACGTAGCTATAAGTAAAGCCCTGACTAGAATCCAGGTCTGAATTGAGACTCCAAATTTTTAGCTGCAATGGTATCCTGGTTCCCGATTCCAGAAGAAATCTAAAAGATATGCATTCAATTATTACCATTCACATAGTGAGCAGGTACCATGTACCAGGTGTGTGGTAGGTAGAAGGTGACAAAAAAGGACGAAAATTTAGACCTTGCCCTTGAGGATCTTGCATGTGGTGGAAGAGACATCTCAACCACAATTACAGCAGAATGTGACGGTGCCATCATAATAGCAAGCATTTATTAAGCACTTTGTGCAGGGAACTGAACTATATAGTTTATATGTATTATCTCAATCTTCATAATAACTCCAGGAAATATTTAACACCATTCCCTTCACTAACATATGAAGAAACTGAGGCACAGAGAAATGAAGGAACTTGCTGAAAGTCACAGAGCTAGTTAGGGGCAGAGCCAGGATTTGAACCCAGGCAGCTGGGCTCTAGAGATGTTTAGTTATCTATTGCTGCATAAGGAATGACCCCAAAACTTAGTGACTTAAAATCACAATGTATTATGCTTACAATTTCTGTGAGTCAGGAATTCAGGAGTCGCTTAGCTCAGGATCTCTGATGAGGTTGTAGTCAAGATGTCGGCTGGGGCTGGAGTCATCTGAAGGTTTGACTGGCATTGGAAGCCCCACTTCTAAGATGGCGCACACACATGTTGCTGTGGTTGGCTGGATTCTTCAATTACTCTCCATAGGGCCCTGTCCATGGGCTCTTGAGTGTCCTCACAACATGGCAGACAGCCTCTTCCAAAGTGGGTGATCCAAGAAAATGCAAGGAGGGGCAGCAATGTCTAGTATAGTCTGGCTTCAAAAGTCATACTCCATCAATTCTGTCCCATGGTTGAGGCAAGTCAATAAATTTGGTCCACAAGCAAGGGGCAGAGAATTAGGCTCTACATTTTGAAGGGAGCTGTGTCAAAGAATTTGTGAACATAGGTTTAAACCACCACAAGAGGCAAGAAGAGGAAGCCACAGAAATGCAGAGGGACCAGTACCTGACACAATTAAGGGTATTTTTAACCTTTCACTTGAGCCTTTAAAAAAAGTGAATAAAATTAAATCAGTTGTTTAATCTTGTTAAGCTTAGAGAAGGAAGGAAAAGGTCATTCAGACAGAAGAAATTGCATGTATAAAGGTAAGGAAGTTGGGGAACTGAAAATCAGTCCGTATAATGGAGGCCTGGAGGAAAAGGGGGTGAGAGATGAGGCTGGAAATGTAGGTAAGTCCTAGGTTTCAGAGCATATTATGTCATGTTAAGGAGCTTAGTTTTACTCTATTGTATTGGGACTATCTAAACAGGACGATGGTACCATCAAAACTGCAGAAAGTTCGCTGTGGCTTTCATGTAAAGGGCAGACAGACTGGGAAGAAGGAGCGTGGAGCCGGGAGACCCGTTAGGAAGATGTTGCAGGATTTCTAGGAAATTGAGGATGGGAACTAACCCTGATGGGCTGGGGAGAGAGAGGACCGGGTGGGCAGAAGAGGGAGCATAGAGGTAGAACCAACAACACTTGGAGACAGACTTCTTAAAGGTCTTGAAACAGAGAGAAGAGTCTAGGGAGATACCTAGATTCGTTCTGGCTGGAGAGCTTGACTTATTCTCCCAAGACCTGCCCTGGAGCTCCATTACCTTCTCCAGTTGCAGAGATGAGGGAATTTAGTATCAACTATGTTGAGAGTGATGATCCTATTCTTGGTTTGGTGCTTTGGGTAGCCAAGGTCGAGAAATAGAGAAAACATCCTTTGCAAATTCTGTATACGTGTAGAGTAGGGGGCTCTATTTCCTAAAAGAAAGAGCTTCCTCGGGACTGTTGGCTGTTCAGAAATTATCGAGAAACTAACTAATCAGCTGGCCAAGAATCGATTCCTGTGTCACATCCCTTCCCTCTAGGCCACAAGTCTACAAAATTGCTAAGTGACAGAGGCTTCTGAATCCTTGCCTTTGGGTCCCTGGAATCACAAAAGCTTGTTAATATTGACTTTCCTCTAATTACTTCACTATTTAGTTTAGGCAGGGTTGTTCTTTTTTTTATTTTTATTTTCCTAGTTACCTTACGCCCTAAAGGAATGCTAATTAATAGAAAGAAAAGTCTAAGGTCTCCCAGACTCAAAGCACATACTCCTTTCTCCTCACCCCAGTGCATGTGTGTTGTGAGAATTACATAGCAGTTTCCTCATTTGATCTTTCCATGTCTCTGTTACCTTATTCATAAAATAGGCATAATTCCATTAACTCTGTTACTTCCTTTTGAGAGTAATTGTGAGGAAGAGAGGAAGCTTTTCAGCTGGGTGTACTGCCTGGCACTTAGTGAGGGTTTCATAAAAGGGAGCTATAAATAACAATCACTATTTTCAGGAGGAATTTACCAAAGCCCCTCTGATCTGTTAGAGGACTCCAAAATTTTAGAATCTCACTTGGTAGATTTCATCATTCCTGCAGTGGTGTATCTCACCGTGGCTTCTTTATTGATGGCTGCTAAGCTTCATCTAAGATTAGTCCAAAACTCACGACCCCACAAAACCAGGACAGGCTGTATTTTCCCCACTCTGGTCTCTCCATCTCGGCCTAAGTGCTTCGATGCCTTGGATATACAGTTCAACTTTGCAACTGGAGTCTGAACCAGATTCCTTGTCTCCAGCTAATGCCTCCTTCTTGGGACTTCATTTATATTTTGTTTTGGTTCAAGGTGAACTCCTTTATTCCCCAAACCGCCAATCCATTTCCCCTGAGTAGAGCAACTGGAAAAATTTCACAGTAACTAATAATAATAAAATAATAATGGTGGCTGAAATGGAGTGGCTTCTAGGTCCTGGGCACCCTGCTCAGGATATTATACATGTATAACATTCTTTATACCTTTTTCACAAAAGCCCTGAGGTTCTGTTCCTATCCCCACTTTACAGCTGAGAAAAATAAGGACCTGAGAAATTTATTAAGTCCTCTATGCAGATAAAGACTTTCCTAAACTCTCAACAAGTGGGTAGTCTCCTTCTAATGTTGCTATTTAGGGATCTAGAGTGATCAAAGATTTCGTTATAAAGGTTGATGGGGCCCCATTCTAAAACATAACCTTTTACCACACAGAATGTTACCATTAGCTATTAACTTTATAGTAGGGTTTCTATGCCTCAGTACTATTAACATTTGCAGACACAGAGCTAATTATCTGTTGTGGGGTGCTGTCCTGTGCACTGTAGGATATTTAGCAGCATCCCTGGCTTCCACCCATTAGATGCCAGTAGCATCTCCTTCCCTGAGCTGTGATGACCAAAAATGTTTCCAGACATTGCCTGATGTCTTCTGGGAGGCACAACTGCCCTTGGTTGAGGACCACTGCTCTAAAGCATAGAACAATCCCAAGGAACGTCTCTCGAATGGAGTTCAACAAGGGGTAGATCATTTTTGGTAGATCTGGAGGCCAAAGGAAAAGTCCAGGGCACAAGATTTTGTTCAGCAAGGATGGCATCTCTAGTAGGATGTGGGGCATGAATGTGAAAAACCACCATCTTTGGCCAGGTTGACTGAGGAGGTGATCTTGGGAACGACATCCAGAAAAGAGCGAGAGATGCAGGATTGGGCAGAGTAACAGAGGCCTCTGGTGGTACCGTGGGGAGGTGTGGAGCTGGGAGACCCCTTCAGAATTGTCCCAAATTGACACACGGGGAATGGGCATTTGCATCCCTCTATTGACCACTTATTGGGGGTGGGCTGCCCCTGGGGGAGGTATAAACAAGGGCAAGTCCAGGGAAGAGACTAAGCTATGAGTCCCCAGAAGCCAAAACTCTTGACAACTTGGAGAATAAATGCCTTGGTCCTAAGAAACATCTCATGGCAAACCACAGCAGTCACTGCAAGCACCAAATTACCTTTAGGGCTCTGTGGTAGATGTTTTACCTACAGCTTCTCATGTATTTCCTCATCAGAACACACTGTACGGTGTAGGCATCATTCTTCCCATTTCACAGATGAGGAAATTGAGGTGGATTAGGATATTACGGGTTAGAATATTTTTGGAGACAAGTGACTAAAAATCCAATTCAAACTAGCTTAAGCAAAAGAAATTAATTTATTTGCTTTCGAAACTGAAACATCCACCCATAGATTTGGCTTCAAGTCCAGTTGCAGCCAGGGTTCAAATGGTAACATCAGGACCCAGTCTCTCTCTATTGGCTCTGCTGTCCTCTGTGTTGTCGTCACCTGCAGATCTTGAGTCATTGCTCCCAGGTTATTGACACTTGGTCATTTCAACTCAAGCAAAAGTCTTGGAATAGATCCCCTTGACGCTGATTGGCCTGGGTTGGTCATGTGACCATCTTGAACCAATCGCTGAAGCCACGAGGATGAGGTGAACTGGCTGGTACGGCCCAGGTCACATGATCCACCTCCGGATCCAGGAATGGAGTCCCGTTCACCAGAACCGCCTGGGTTGAGAGAGGTAGAAGGTAGATCCTGCACTCATAAAAACCTGTTATCTTGTTATCTAAAGAAGGAGGAGGCGATGCTAGGCAGCAGATACGACAGACGTCCACTCCAGAGTCTCAGGAAGGTGAAATCATTTATCTCAAGGTCAGAAGCCTGTAAAGATAGAGCCAGGTTCATCACATCTGTCTGCCTCCACAGCCCTTTCTGTTTTCCCTCCGCCTCTTGGGAAAGAAGAAGAAACCACTGAGGCGATTTAGAGGAAGAATCAGCAAACTACAGCTCATGAATCAAACGCAGCCCACCGCCTGTTTTTATAAGCAGTTTTATTGAAACACAGGCAAACCCATTCACGTGTGTATTATCCATGGCTGCTTTTGCGCTACAACCACAGAGACTGCATGGTCCCCAAAGCCTAAATGATTTGCTATTTGACCCTTAACTGAAAAAGTTTACCACGGCTTTATTCAGAGAATGGTTCTCTCTTGATAGATTCCGGCGGTTGCCCTTGCGGATGGAGCCAGCGTGACGTGAGGCTTCTCTCATTTCCCTCCTTCTTCTACTCCCACGTGGAATCGTGGGTCACCAGCTGTGTTTCCTGCTTTCTTCCCTATCCACCTAATACCAGGTTCATTTATCTCCCCCAGAAGAATCCCTCAATTGAAAAGCGAAAACAATTCAGGAAGGAAGACTTGCAACACACATCGCGTGTGTGAATGCTCCAGAAATTCGCCAGTTACACACATCGCTAATCTGGAAGGTGTTTTATTTCACTTCGAGAGAACTGAGAAACTTAACAGCCACTAATATCACAACAAAACTCAGCTCAGTCTCTCCATTAGACTGAAAGGGTTTTATTCTCCGTGTTCCTCTGTCAGATTTTAAAAGGATATGGTTTTATTCCCCTTCTCATCTAATATTGGAACATATCAATCTACAGCAAGATCACATTTTTAAATGATGTTCTAGTATTTCAAGAGGCATTTTAAAGGGAGAAACATAGCTCCACTCTAGAGAAAGCTCATGGTGGAAAAGAAAGTACCTTTATCTCCAGTGATTCAAGAAATACTTACTGATGCTGGGCCCAGTGGCTTGCTGGCTGGAGGAGGAGATGAGGTTCAGAAGGGGGATGTGAGTTGCTCAGCATCACACAGCCGTGTTAGAGTCAGGACATCTGTGCGCTTCCTTCTTATAGCTGTTGGATACTTTCCATACCCTTGAGGTGAGGCTTGGACTCTGGTTGGAACAAGAAGTGATGTCCTATGCTCTGCTGAGATATAGCACCCTAGAGAATAAAAAATGCCAGCTCTTGCCATTTTCTGGTGTGAATAGCTCAATATTTACCCATTTCTCTTGGAAGAAAGTCACGCAGTGGGCCATGGCTGCCAGCCCCCACATAGTCCAAGCCTTCATGACCTGGTGGTTTATTCTCTCAACAGACCTTTTCTCTGCAGCCACACACACCCTCCGTCTGTTGCTTGTACTGTTCACAGTACCTGCCATCACAGAGGCTATGCGTTTATGCAGTCCCCACATGCACTCATCCTACCCCCTCCCACCAGCCACTTTTCACCCATCTAATCATCCCTAATTCTTTAGGTCTCAGTTTAAATGTCATGCCTTCAAAGCACTCCCATGGCTCCTGCCCCAACCACTGACTTTTCTGACTAGGTGAGGTTCCTGGTGAAATTCTCATTTTCTTGTTCTATTTATTCATCACACTGATCACATTTGTAATTATTTACTTAATGAGAGTCTCTCCCATTTCTCTGTAAACTTCATGGAGGCGGGAACTGAGCTAGTTGTTCTGTTCACTGCCTTATAAGCAGTGCCCGGCATAATGCCTGACAAATTGTGGGTGCTCACTCTTCATGTGTTGACTAACCAGCCAAAATGGACTTCAGGCTCTGGGGTGGAGGAGAGTAGCAGATGCTTGCATTGTAATGGACGATGGGACTGGCGGGCATTTGTCTTTCCACATTCCTTTATGATGTGCCTTTCAAAAGCCTTGTTTAATCCCACAGGGCTCCTGTAAGCCCCTAGATTTTGCACCTGCCGTCGAATAAAGCAGGTCTCTGAGACCCTCACTTCATTCACGAGCTTATTCCTGAACCTCCTCTCCTAACCCTCCTTACGATCCAGACCAGCTTCTGACCTCTCAGATTCTCCTTCTGATTTAATTTCTCTAGCATATAGACCTGTCTTCAGATAGATCTGCCTTTCCCCACCCCCAAACCATGATTGGGGCTCCATCCTTCCTAGCTGGAGATGTGCCTTGTCCCATAGGCCAGAGCTTACTCTGGTTCCTGAGAAATGCAGCGCCAAGGATGCTCCAGCCTAATTCGCATCCTCTCAGTTTTTCAAGCCTTCTGCTCCCTCCCCCACAGAGTTCTGCACCTGCTTTTTCCGCTGTCTGGAGTGTTCTCCCTCCAACCCTGTTCACTTGGTTAACTCATACTCATGCTGAAGACACCGACTCAAATAGGAGTCCTTCTCTGACTCTCAAGGCAGGTCAGGCTCTCCTGCTATATCTTCTCTTAACATCATAAACGCTGTATTTGTAGAAAATACTTGGAGCACTTTAGAAGGTTGTATTAATGAGAGTATTCTCATTGATGTCTATGTGTTCTAGACTGTAAACTCCAAAAAGGCTGGAATCATGTCTTTTTTTGTTCATTATCACAATCTCAATGTCTGGCACAGAGTATGTGCTTAAAATTTTGGTTAAATGAGTGAAAGAAGAAATTATTCAAATTGGGTAATCCTCCTTGAGCCTCTTCCTCCATTTCCACACTAAGAGCATGGACGATGTCTTTTATGACTTCCCCTGAATGTCTCCTACAATAGGGAGGGCAAATATGAGGCATATACACCCTCAATTCCTACTCGTGAGAGCTTGAACAAGCTACTCACTTGCTCTGCTCCTCAGTCTCTGCCTTCTAAAATGATTCATCGAATAACTGCCCCAAAGGGCACAATCATTCATCCACTCAGTAAAGAGCAATTCTCAAAGTGATGTCCCAGGACTAACCACATGGGAACTACCTGGACCAGTTATTAATGATGCAGGTTCCTACTGACTATTTGAAGATTTTAGAACCAAAACCTCTTTAGGTGCAACTCATCAATATGCATTTTAACAAGCATTATTGATGATTCATATGCACCTTCAAGATGGGAACCAATGGGCGCAGTGAGTTGTTGTGATGATTAAAGAAGATCTTATATATAAAGCAGATTTGGAGTTGCTTTATACCACAGAGACTGGCACATGATCAGTGTCGCACATCACTCTGTCTTTCCATCTACTTACCCATCCATCTACCTAATTGTCTATCTTTCTCCATCTTTTCCAATATACTATTTTCCTTTCTTCCTCTAATTGTTTACTCACATTTATTTGCTTTTCCCATCTTATCCTAAATATTTTACTTGACCCACACCAAGTGATGAGAGAACTCTAGGAAATGTATAAGACAAAGATGAAGCTCCTCAGGGAGCTCCTAGCAGAGAGGAGATCTGGAACTCAGCAACTATATAAAGATATGTGGACACATCTTGGCCCTTGGGTCTCAATGTCTGCAAACTGCCTCTCCTCTCCTCTTTTCTCCTGTCTCATGAAGCCCCGTTCTGTGCTCACCCAAATGACTCTAGTTCTGGTTCTCACACTTTCTCCAGCCCATGCTTCTTTGTCATTTGGAGATAGGCACAGTGGCTCATTCACCATATCCCACCTATGCATTCAGAACTTCTTCCTCCTCAGGGTAATCACAGGGTAAGATTAATTATGCTAATCAGCCTCTACAGGCTGACACAATTAACCAGAGCATGAGATAGCTCCAGAAATCTGTATAGAAGCCTCTTACCTGCTGAGTTTAATTTCACCATCCAGCACGGTAATTAAGGGGGGTGGGAGAGAAGAGTTTGCTCTTTGCAACCAAAGGGCACATGGTTCCATCCTTTAATGGAAGTTGTAGGAAGCTTTCCAGGGGATATCTGGCCACTTAATGCCCCTCTTGGGACCTGCCACTGGACATCTCCATCTTGAGGCTGGGTACCAGCATTGTAGCTAATTTTTTTTTCTTGTTGGTGTTATAAAATGAGGTATTCGTATTTTGATACATTTTAAAATCTGTTTCCTTCCCCTATCTATTCTTTGACACCTTTCAAAATTTTCAATATTTTTCTTTATTCAAAAATAAGAAAAGTTGTGGGGCCAGCCCGGTGGTGCAGCGGTTAAGCTCACATGTTTCACTCTGGCAGCCTAGGGTTTACCGGTTCAGATCCTGGGTGTGGACCTACACACCACTTGTCAAGCCATGCTTTGGCAGGTGTCCCACATGTAAAGTGGAGGAAGATGGGCATGGATGTTAGCTCAGGACCCATCTTCCTCAGCAAAAAGAGGATTGGCAGCAGAGGTTAGCTCAGGGATAATCTTCCTCAAAAAGTAAAAAATAAGAAAAGTTGTTAAAACTTTAGATCAAGCATCCTTAACATGTATTTCATGGAGTGCTAATTCTGCAAGTTGCCTTGGGGATAAAAGTTTATAATCCAAATTTGGGAAGTTCAAATTTCTATATTCCCCTCTGGAAGAGTCAAAATGAACATTAGCATTTTCAAGCTCTGAAACTCCCGTAAGAAAACATGTTTAACTATGGTTAACCCAATATTTACCCAAATTTATTTTACCATAGATTTTAATTTTGTTTCCCCCAAAAGTTGACCCTAAGATAAGGACTGGATTATAGTTAGTTTATTTCAGAAAACAGAAGTGAAGGAGTGCGAAAAGAGAGGCAGGACAGAGAAGAAAACCAATCAAGAGTGTATTAACGAACTCATTACTGCTAAGGACAATCGGGGTTTAGTCTTGCTGAGGACCCCCTAAAGATTCATGTAGAATGCATCACAGAATTGTGCTGCTGGAGGATAGAAAAGCTTAGGCATTTATCCACTGACTCATATCCCTCATTATTGGGAAGTTACCCTAAGGGGACTTTAACCTTCATGTACTTCTGAGTTGATCAGTTGCTAAGCCTCCTCCAGCTTTGGGGAAAGCAGAATGGAAAGACTTCATGACTCTTAACATGGGACACTGACAAGGGGACGGGGAACTGTCTACCACAGCAGTGCTGAAATCTGGAGGACTAAAGGGACGTGGCATGGAAATCACAAGCACCTACTATACCATATAATCTTTAAAAACTTTAGAATTCTAGGTTATTAACATCCAAAATACTTGTATTCTATGTATATAATTTAGGAAACACTGCTCTGTTTGAAATTATTAGTGCTCATCTATATCTGGTTCTCCAGCCCCCTTGAAGTGACTAATCCTGGTCATCTAAGAGTAGAATGGTGTACTCCAAGCTGAGGGAGTAACAGTTTCTGTCCAACACTCCATCTTTCTCTTCTCCTGCAGTGGCAACCCTGAATGCACCTAGTGAGATGGCCACAAGAAGGAAGCAGACTGGATCCCTGAGTGACCTTGGAAGGGACTACCCCAGTGAGTTGACAGACCTGCCACGGATCTTGAGTGAACAATAAATCAGCTTTTATGTGTCAATCCATTGGAATTTAGAGCTTTGTGTTTATCACAGTAAAGCCTGGCCTACCCGGAATCACACAACAGCCTTAGAGATTACAGCCACAGAAGAGCAAAAGGTCATTGTAACTTCTAGGATATTCCTTACACAGGATATCTGATATGGGCCAGCTGGTGTTATATCAAAAAACCAGGGGAGGATAAAGAAGGACTGAACTTGTCTGTGCCTCTTAGTGTAAGTAACAGAGAATCGTAAAGACAAGTAGAGGAAGGATCGGGTGAGTGACCCAAGCACTGAATGGGCATGTCCTATTTCTGCAGAATGAGATCCTCAAGAGGGAGGTGTCCAATTTGATGGGAGCACATATGGATCCAACTCTTCCTAAAAAGTAAAAGGGATCTGAGTGTTGTGCTTCTATGCCTTGCTCTTAACTCTTTAAATGAGCTCATTGATCTATAAAACATATACTTGCTGGCCTATACATATGAATGATTAAAGTAATGTCTCCTGCCATTGCTCATTCCAATTTCCTTTCAGTACATTTTTCCTATTTAAACTAGCTCTGAAATCTTGGCTCTGTAACCTTTATTCAAGCATTTTTCTGCTCCCAAACTTTGGGGAATCCAATTATACTTATATTTGACTGTTTGAATCCATCCCACAGCTCACTGATGCTCTGTTAATGTTTAAAATTCTGTTTTATCGCTTTATTTAAATTTGGATAGTTC